AAATGACATGGGACCAAAGGCATTGGTTATAGGACTTCAAGACCTTTCCAAAATGTCCATGAACATGTTAATATGATCAAAATTGAGCAAGATATGCATTGGAGAAGTTGGGAAAGTTTTGTGAAATGGCCAAAGTCAACTATCCATGAAACTTCAATTTTTGACAAAAGGGCCCACTTTTCCCACTTTATTCAGCTTTGCCATGCCTCCCACGTGTACCATGATTTATTTCAAGATTAAAGATTAATTTTTCTATTTTTATTTAATTTTATTTGATTTAATTCATTTTAAATCTTTAAAATTCAAATAAAAATCAAAGAAATTAATTAAGGGATATCTTTGAGTTTGAATAGCTTTGATACACCATAGTCCACATACCAATTTCGTGTACATCCTATTTCAAGCATAAAAATTCAAATTTTGACAAAAAAGGCAAGTTTCTTCAATGGTGATTATGGCAAAATCAAAAACTTCATTGCAAGGGTTAAAGGTGCATTATATTGTTTGATTCTCATTCACTAACATATATGCACGCCTCTCACACAGAAATAAAGACCTAGAAAACTCAGAGGCATCATAACCAATTTCAAAATTTCAAGAGAAAAGTGTGAAACTGAAAACCACTTTGCAGCATAATTCAAACCTCCCTTTTGATCCAAACACACTCCTTACATCCCCAGGAATCGTTTGCAGCCAAGAACAAGCCAAAAACCTCAAGAACTCGTGCTATACAAGTCATACGGTTTACATTCTTTTTCAAAATTACAATCATCCATTCATGCGTTTTTAATATATTTTATTGATTGCATTGTACTCACAGGATCCATACGAAGCTTTCCACATGATTTAATTTGATTATGATGCTCTAAAACGCAAAGTACCATTGTTGAGTTCTAGGTTTTCAAAGCTTTAGAATTGGGGCTTTTGCTATACTGTAAAATCAGGACTCCAAACATATATGGTCAAACTCAGCATGATGAGACGAACATGAAGCATACCTCGCGCCCAATTTATATTGCACGAGCGCCTAATCGCTATTTTCAAATGCTTGCATTTTGTGGGGGTTTAAAACCCCCGCTACATGTTTTTTATTTTACAGGAAAGGTTGAAGACGAAGGGCGTGGCAATACATGATTGGCAGGTTCAAATTGGGCGCGCGCTTTTTTCCTTTTTCAGCATATAGTGTGTTTGTTTTATATTATGTTATTTTCTTATTATTATAACAAACGTGCATAAGTGATGCAGTGGTTGGAGATGTGGCTTGCAATCTTTTGGGCCTGGGTTCGATCCCAGGTCCCCACCAAATTTCATATTATTTTTCTTCCTATGCTTGTGTGCAGCATCTCATCAAATAATCCACCATAGACTCACACATCCAACATGCCATGTGTCCTCAGACAGTCATCCAAAGGCCAGGAGAGGGAGGAATACCATGTTCCAAGTCAAACGCGCTCTGGACAATCAAGGAGAGTCAAACGTGGCTTCTTAATGGGCCAGAATTCAACACACCTCCTATTTGGCCCAACCCCCCCCCCCCCCCCCCCCCTTGGGTTTGCATTTTTTCTTTTTTTATATTTTATTTGTCTTGCTTTTTATTAACAATTAACCAATTAATGTTTTCATAAAAAATCAAAAAAAGAACTAACATTATTAATTTCATTTTATTTTTGTAAATAAACATTAACAAATAAAATAATTTAATTAGGCAACTTTAACTTTTTTTTTAATAAGTTTAGAATTAGGTTTATTAACTTTTAATTTTAATTCCTTTATTTTATTTTCATTAAAAAACATAAAAATACAAAAAATATTTTTCTTTTAATTAATTAATTAGTTTAATTATTAGTTATTAATTTCATTTAATCACAAAAAAAAGACAAAAAAATTCAATTTCTTTTCTTAAAAGGGTCAAAACCCTTAGAACGTTCCCGCTTAATTTTTATTCGCGCGCATTTACTTTATTTTGATTATTATGTACCTTCTTCAAGAATGTAATAGTAATTAGGTTTATCGCTTTATTTAATTTCTCGTACTTATTTACCAAAACGGGTCTTTGTATTTTTGGCGATGTATAGACCCGCGCCTTGTAATAGCGTAGAATTTATCTTTCCGCAATTTATTTTCCGCACTCCTAACTGTTAACAATGCATGAAAGAATATATGTAAATAAAAACAACTCGTAGCTCACAAAATAACAAGACAAACATTAACTGAAAAACAACACACAAAGCACATGCCACTCCTAGGGTACGCTTCACTGGTTTCCTCGAAACGTGGTCATAAAGTATAAGACGTCTTAGAGGTTACCCTTTGTCTAAAGATCCAATCGCCTCGAAACGGTTGCCTCGGATAAAAGGATCTAGGACATTAGGGTTACTTCTAAGGTGTCCTACCATTGCTTCGGTGACCACACATGTCCCGATAATCGAATTGACCCGAACACCTCCAACGATGGTGCTGCCTACCTCTCAATGGTGGGATAGCACTATCTAAAGGACTCTTACACAGCTTAATTCCTTAGGGTAGGTAGATGACTCATGGGTACTTGCTCCTTTAAAAAAAAACAAAATACTTTTCACACATTACACTTTCAAAAAGTTTTCAAACAATACTTCATACACTCTTGAGGACTGATACAAGAGTTACCTAGAAGTTTTCAAACGAACTTTTTTTCAAAACCCACACACACTTGAAAAGCAAACAAATATTTTTTTGAAAACATAAGAGCAAGTACCTAAGAGCCCGTGGATAACCACGGATAGAAAGGATGCTAACACCTTCCCTTTCTATAAATCTACCTCCCGAACCGAGAAACATCTCGAATAAGGAATTTTGCTGTGCTTTTGTCCTTTCCATGTTGGAGAACATAAAAGACGGTGGCGACTCTTGCGTACCGCGACATTTCGCGAAACCAGCTAAAAACAATCAGTTCTATTTCCACCGATCACAAAATCCAAAACACATCCGCATATCAAATAATGAACCTGCATAAGACTCAGCTCAACAAACAAAGGTGAATCGCAATTTTCAAATAATCGAAAGATTATGAATTAATTTCCTAAAATCAAATAAAGGCCTAAATTTTTTTGATTTTTGTAGTTTTTTATCATTAAAAAAAAATCTAAATTCTATTTGTTTTTTTTTGTTTTATTATATATTCTATTACTATTTTTATTATAAAAAGAAAATTAAACTAAAAAAACAAAAAGCTAAAACTAAAGAAATAGAAAGAGTCAAGGGGGTGTTTTTCCAGAAATTCAAGGTGCAATAAGAAACTACAAGGCTTGTATTGGGCCCAGGTTGAGTCCAATAAACTCTTATTTGCATTCAGCCGCATGTTTTACCACAAAAAATGCCCAAGCCTTGAAGATTTTGGCCCAGGATCAATATTAAACCCAACTCAAAGTTCAACATATGAGGCCTGATTGTTATAGTATTTTTCAATTATTCGATTTTTTATTAATAAAAAAAAGATAAAGGGTGAATATTGAGAAAGGGATTAGGGTTCAGATTTGTGCCTCTTGGACTTCCCTGAACAACGAAAAATCTTCTTCTTCAAACTCTCCACACAGCGCCGCAAACCTATTCTTCTTCTTCACTATCATTCACCGTTCTACTCCCATCTCTCCGATGACACTCAACCTCATATTTGTCCGCTTCCTCGCTGATCGATCGAACAAACTCCTCCAATGAACAAGTTTCACTGGTTACTTAGATATGAACACAAACCTTACTTTTTCCGTCTACAGACCAAAAATCTTACACTAATTTCTTACAGAAACTTTTTATCGATCGATAAATTAGGAACCAAAACCCCAAGCTTAAGGGGAGACAAATTTCGACAAGAATCGTAAGGAATCTACGCGTGCATCCTTCAATTGACTTTAAACTGTGCAAGGAGATACTAAAGGATTGCGAAACGAAAGATTTAGAGGAATTGTTACCGTTCTGGTGCAGCGGCGAAGATGAATCTTCTGGAGAGATCCGATTGTCAGGTATTTCTTCCTTCCTTTCTTGCTTCTTCCTCTTCTCTTTTTGTTTTGTTTTTCCACTTCCTTCTTTTTCTGTTTGCTCTGCGTATCTGAGTTTATTGTTGAGAGCGAGTACCAGTGAGGTTTCGAAGATCTTCGTTGTGTGTGTTATTATTGTTGTGCGTTGATGATGAAAGAGGTGTGAAAATGATGGTGGAAGGTAGAAGGTGGAGGTGAAGGTGATAATGGTTGAGGATACGATTGTGGTGCATAATGGTGTTTGGAGAAAGGTGCAGAGAATGATGAGATGAAGAATGGTAGGGAACAGAAGTGAGGTTCAGTGAAAGTGAAGAAAATGACGCATTTTTGTTGAAGAAGGTGCAGAGCAGAGAAGTGATCCCCCTATCAAGATGGAGGAGTCATGGTGCGGTCATCATGAAGGAGAGATAGCAGAGAGAGCTTTGAGGTTGGTATAGGCTTGGGAAGTTAGTTACAGATTGAGCACCCTCAACCCTTGGATAGAAGTTTCTTTTAAAGCAATTAAAGGCGAGGGTCCAATTCTCTGAAAGTTTGTTATTCTGAGTTTTGGTTATAAGTTTCTCATTTAATATTTTCTCCCTCCTTTCTGTTATAGAAGTTTGAGTTAGTTAACTGGAGTTACGGATTTGCTAGGACAGTTATAAAATGTCAGTAGAAATTTGGGATTTGTAGACATCCTGTTAGGGTAGTTACGGTTAGCATTGAGGTGGAATTTGGTTGGGAATGAATTCTGTTATGCTCAGTTTGTTTTGAAGGTCAGAAACAATTAGGTTGGTTAGAGGTGGTTAATGGGAGGTTAGAAAATTCTGTTAGAGTATTCTGTTAGTTGAAAATCTGTTAGAGTTCTGTTTGGATGTTGGAATTCAGTTGATTGTTTTATGAACTAAATTGTTTTCTTGGTTTGATATTTCAGGCATCATTTTCAATGTGATTCCCATAGCGATGAGTATTAGTCCACTTCCATATCATAGTCCGCGCGCTTGGCAGGTTCTACAATGACATCAGCAATTTGGCTTGAAGATTGATGTGCAGTAGCACGGTTGCCAAAACATATTGCTGCAAAGGGCATGATTTAATATTACTAGATAAATCAGCAGTGTAGTTCTCCACTGCTTCTGTATACTTTCCCAATTTGAAGTTCTCATTTCCTGCTTTCCTGTGATATAGAAGTTCTTGTATTGTAGTAGCTGATGACAGCAAGTCTTCAGTGTTATCAATCATACACTTGTCATTGACAGATGCTGTTTTCTGTAATTTTTCAATAACATTAAGTGATGCATCAAGCCTCCCCAAACGAAAGTAACACTTAGATATAAATGAACATCTCCACATTTTCACACTTAAGTAACTATCATCCGTGGAATTGTGCGCACTGTTTGCCAAGGCAAAATTCTTCTCTGTAAGACTCAGACTCTGGTCGCAAGGCTGAATTGCTGCATCATATTTTGCAGCAGATAGAGAGCATCAACCTTCATTTGGAGCAATCTTTCTGAGTATAAAGTCTTTGACAATGCATTTGTAAGTAGTTCTAAAGCAGAACCACCTACCTCAGAAGTCCTCTCCTTCAAAAGTTTAGTAGCATCATTCATACACTTTGCCACTTCCTGAGCTTTTTGTAAACCTTCAGCTGCTTCAACTGTTACTCTCCGATCCAAACACACAACTTTACCTGATTCCAAGCACTTGTTATAGCATCACTGAGCACTTTCTACTTCCCCTAGCAAAAGGTGGCAGTTAGCAAGCTCTAATCTGTACTTTCAAAAAGGTGGGGTCCAAAGAATATGCTATCATGCAATCCTCTAGAGCTTCTCTAATCCTTCCAAGAGCCATACGTGTTACTGCACGGTTGCTATAGCAGAGTAAAAGAGGCTTCATGCAGGATCCTGATCTTTTATTGGAAGGGACAAACTATTCCCTATGTGTAGCATTCCTAAGCTATAGAAAGATCCTTAGCTTTATGAGCACGGTTCCCCCTCAGTCTCCATTGGTAACAGGCTGCTTGAATTGTATCTGATGACGTATCGCCTTCTTCCTCGAACTGATTATTCATGTGAGACCTGTCTGTCACATCAGAATGTGATGACATGTTGGCAGTAGTAAGTGGTGAAAATTGTATAGAAGATACAGATTTTCCATTAACACTTGGAGAGATAACAAACGAGTCACGAGCCATTTTCCTCCTAAATTTCTTCTTCTGTTTAGGCCTAAATAATGAAGTAATCTCTACAGTGGACCCTGCTGAAAAATGAAAAATCTTTCTCCTTCAAATCACCCAGACCATTATCAAAACAAAATATATCAGACTTTTTCTTTTTAGATTTAGAGGTAAAGTCAATCCCAGCATCTGCAGAAACACCGACAGTACTACTGCTACTGAACGCTTCAGTTTGCATCTTAGGCCAGATTATTTCGGGGTCAGAAGAAGGAACATCACCTACAGAAGAACCTCCATAACAGGACTCGTCATTACTAAGATCTCTACATCTCTGACCATCTGAGTTGATATATTCTCTTCCTATAGCAGCCGGGCATTCGTCTTTTAAATCGGTAGGAATTATTGAACGAAGAATATTGAATTCTTCTGAAGCCTTTACATCTTGATCATTTGCAGATGCTTCCTGATTCTTGCAACTTGAGTGAATATTCGTAGTGAACATGGACTTGAATGAAATTGAATGTCTTTTATAATGAAATGATTAAGCGTTGAACATGATCAATAAGATGAAGATGATTATGATGAATGAATGCCTTGCACTTGTAATTTGTTCCTTAAATTCCAAGAAGTCCAAATGCGTTCCCTTTCCAAACTCTACAAATTCCCAACAACTTTGATGAATTGAACCAAATTTGAATTCATTGAATCTTTTAAATCTACTTTAACTTTAATCCAAATTAGCTCGCCTGACAAGCCACAAACAAATTGAAGAATAATGCCTTGATTATGATTCACATCTTGCACTTGAATGAATATCTCAAATTAATCTTCCAACCTTAATGAAACCCTGTATTCAATTCCATTTTTCGATCTTAAGCAAACTTTCACGACAAACAATCCATCCTCATTTCTTGCACCATAGCTTGCATTTCGCAATCAAACTCCACTATATCTCGTCTTGACGAGTAACAAAATAGCCAATGCCTTGAATCCCTAGATAAAGGTAGGACTTGGAGCGTAGTAGGATACCTTGACACGAAACTCAATGAATTTCAGTTATTGAACATCAACAAGCTCAAATATGTTGAGTAGCAAACCCTAGTTCACCTGCTTTTGATGAAATTTGACAATCAAGGTAGCTTAAGGCGATGGAGGGAACCAAAACCTTAGCTTACAATTGAACTCTTGGTGAAGCATAACAAATTAAAAACCCTAGCATCTTTCCCTGCTTGTTGAAGAAGCAGCTTGAATCTCTTGGATAAAGATAAGAGCCTCAGAGCCTTAAAGAAACCCTAATTCTTCGAAATCTTTGATCACATGCCACATTTTATTGATTAATGAATGAACGGTGTGTTAGATGACCTAATGAGTTATGTACATGAATCTCACTTAAATTCATAGATTTGAGTCATTTTTCATTTGAAGCGACCAACTTCCATTTGATAAAATGAGTTGAATGAGCTCCTAAGATGAGCTCAATGTAACCTTGAAATGAGACTTTAATCCAGTAAATCTCCATAGAAGAATCACCACCAAGCTCAGACAAAATGAAGAGAAATCCTGATTCTCTGGCTGAGTTAGGCCCTAATACCTTTGTTCCTTGAAAGAACCTTGATGAAATTTTTTTTTGTATCTTGAGAAAACCTGATAGACATCTATGCTGCTTGAGATCCAAAACCCTAATCTCATACCAAGAAAAACGAGAGCGCCAGTTGAGTCAATTTTGAGTAAGATAGAAAACTCAATTCAGGGAAAGAAACCCTAATTCCAAAGCGCAGAGATCTTATAACCATGAGACTAATGCTATATGTGAAATGCACAAAGTGTGATGAGGGATCTTAGGGGCGAAAATTGGGGTACAACACTAGTTTCTTGCTCAATTCCAAATCAAACACTCTTGCTATTTTCAAAACAAACACCAACACTTTCAAAAACATCTTTCAAACTTGAAAACATTTTCAAAAGATCAACACTTTGTATACATTCTTATAAACAAGAATCATTACAAAGTTTGCCTAAATGATGGCATCATTACAAAATACTTTCAAAAAACCACACAAAGCACGATTTCAAACAAAAGCAAGTGATCTAGCAAGTAACTAAGAGCCCATGGAAAACCATGGATGAAAAGAGTGCTAATACCTTCCCTTTTCATAATCTACCCCCCGAACTCAAGAAACAATCTCAAAGGTCTTTCCTGTGCTTTTTCACCTTTCCTTTTGGATAAAAGAAAAGTCGGTGGTGACTCTTGCTAACCGCAACATTTGCAATAAAATGCAAAACAACCAAGTCAGTTCTCCCACCGTATCACAGAACTGGCGACTCTACTGGGGAATATTCTAAAAGTGGGGTTACCTTAGGGTTAGATCATATTTACTTGCTTTCTTTGTTTGACTTATATGCTTTACATTATGGTTCTTTGTTTGGGTTTGAATCCTCTACCCGGATTTGGGATACCTTATAGGTAAGTAGTAATACATTGTGGAAACTGTGCGGGGTATACCGACACGGTCTAAGCAATAGCTATGTTAGTGCGACATATTTGTGGGTACCGGTAGCCCTTGAGTAGTCAAGGAGAATACGGGGCCGCTGGGTGATGTCATGAAACACTAATGAACTTTTAGAACTTTTACTTGACCAACTTGTCCTTTAGGATGTAGTGAGATAACTGGCTTTGATACAGTCCGAAGTTGGTAGATACTCGATACTACACTCATTGAGGTTTGGTTTTTTGGGATATTTCGGTCGCCATTTAAGAGGCTTGCACTGAAACAATGACCAAAGAAACAAACCGTTGATATTGAGCTCCTTAGAACCCGGTTACTATTACTAGGACAGGTTTGAGCCAACTAAACTTCAAGAGGGTACTTACCTAAGAGACTCCATGCAAGCCTAAACCTAAGGATCTGTTTGCTTTGTTTGTATATATTTACTTGTACATAACATCATAAACATCATAACATCATACTCATACTCACTAACCATTTCAAGGATTTTTTGGATTTATCTTTGTAGGACATGGATTCTATTTGCAGGAAAACCATTCAAGTCAATCTCGTAAGGATCCCTCCCCAGCTCAAAGAGTTAGCATCAAGGATTCCTGAAAATTTTCGGTTTACCGAAAGACATGGTCGCCTACTAAACTTGGTTACCTCTAACACTGATGAAGACATGATGAAGGTGCTCTTTCAGTTCTTTGACCCCTTATACCATTGCTTCACATTTCCCGATTATCAACTTGTGCCGACTTTGGAATAATTCTCCCAACTCTCGAGGATTCCCATTCTCAATCAACTACCTTTCAACGGTACAAAAATAGATCCAAAGCCATAAGAGATTGCTCAAGCTCTACACTTGCAACCATCTGATATCACAACTAATTGGGAAATAAGGAGTGGTGTCAAAGATTTAGAAAAAATTTTGTTCGAGAAATCCCAAAACTGTTGGAACTCCTTGGACCTATAAGCTTTTGAGGAAATTGTGGCTCTCCTCATCTATGGGATGGTTTTGTTTCCAAACCCTGATCAACTCATAGATATGAACGCCGTCAAAATCTTCATGTCTCGTAACCCGGTGCCTACTTTGCTAGGGGACATCCTACATTCCTTTCACACTTGTACTATGAGGAAAAGAGGTATCCTCATGGGTTGCACTACTCTCTTGGCAAGATGGTTTATTTTGCATCTTCCCCAATATAAGTTGAAAAATGAGCAAGGTTAAAGATGGTCCCATAGGTTGATGATGCTCAGACATTTAGATATTCATTGGTGTTCCCGCTCTTTGGAGAATGTTACTATCGTCGACCGTTGTGGAGAATTCCCTAATGTCCCTTTGCTTGGAATTAGAGGAGGTATCACTTACAACCCCTGCTTAGCCCTACGACAATTTGGTTACGCCCGGAGGGATGGTCCCCATGAGATGCTTATCCAAGGATTGGTATTCGACTATGAGAATGACAATCAAGGTTATCGTCAAAGGTTTATTCGAGCCTGGAGGATGTTGAACAAAGTGGATAGTAAGACGCTAGGACACAAGAATTATGTTCCCCTCGAGCCTTACCTTAAATGGGTGCGAGCTCATGCTCAGAAACTTGTGATGCCTTATCCTTCCATCTTACCAGTCATCATGGAGCCCGTGGTTGAAGGAGATGTTTCTTACACTATCCTCCATCCCGACA